ACAGTGGACTTTCCTTTGATAAACCCATGCTGTGCTTCATTAATCAGACCTTTACATGCAAATGTTAACTGATCGCAAACCATTTATCAAACAATTTTGGTATAGCAGATTGTGTACAAATACTACGATATAAACTGCTGGGCAAATGAAGCGGAACAAGCGATATTTAAGTTTAACTTCAAATTCCAATATTACGCAATCTAAAGAAGATATCAATGAGTGTTTTGCGTAATTTAAAGGTTAATTTTCGCAAACCGCCCATCAATATATTTTTTAGGTCGCGTAATGTTGGAATTTGAACTTAGCCTGAAAATTCGCTTGTTCCGTTTCATTTGTCCAGCACTTTAGTTCTGCACATTATGTCTATATCACCGTTTTGATATAGATGGGCACTAAGTAGCTTTGTTTCCAGTAATCTGGATAAGTTTCATATTTTAGTGACTGGTTGAACTGGTTATCCATTGTTTCCTTTCCCGGCCTAGGTTGGAAAAGTGATTCCCTTACTGTTATCCATCAATTCCTTAGCAACCATTGAAAATGCCAACATTGAGTTTTGCGACCTGTCAACCGGTCAAAAATTATGACATTTCTTGTCAATCGCAGAATTTTTATTTTTTTTTTCAAATTACATATTACGAATTTAATGAAATAGGTAGGTACCTACTTATGACAAATGAGGGGCCCCTCAAGTCTCGGGGGCCTCAGAGATTTGCACCGAACTGTCGTATAATAGTTACGCCAATATGAAAAGGATTCTGCTGTCATCCCGGGCAGAAGACTTCTGCGGGTTACCACCTGCAATGTCTATAAGCAGCGCTGTCAGTGTTAAACCGCCATTTTATTGGCCATAAAATTGCGTGGCTTGCCCTTATTTAACCCACCTCGTATCTTTTATAATAACCGAGATACCTCTGGACACTGTATATTTTTGTATAACCTTGTATACTATGTTCTAAGCGTTTCCATATCCGCCATAATTATAATGTTTGTTTCGAAAAGAAATAATGACGTCAAACGCTATATTTTACATAAAATCGCATGACTCATAATAAAATCGTCGTGGCCTGCAATATTCAAAAAATCTCAAAAATATCCCGAGGTACTAAGGTACTCTTCAAGCTGAATACCAAAAATAAACTTAACCTTCCCTACAGCAGAATGGGGTGAACCCACACTTTGGCAAAAAATTCGCCCAACTTATGTTTCACCCTGTATCTTTTAGCAGGTGGAAGGAAATCGGTTAACAACTGGAAGTTAAATAGCAATTAGAGCAGCCTCTCACCCTTGAAAATTTGAATAAAATCGGCCTGCTAAATTTTGAGTTATAGCATTGTATTAGTTATAGTCTTACAAAAAGTTACCAAAAATTGGGGTGTTCAAATTCGATCGATGCCTAGTTTAGTAAGCTTTAGTCAAGAGTAACTCCCTTACCTCCTTTCTAAACCTCCCGTATGAACGGAAGGACGTAACGCTAAATGGTAGAAAATTAAAGGCTTTCTTAGCAAAATAAATAGAAGACTTGTTATTCACCTACGTGCTTCTGGGAATTGGCAGTGGAATATTATTAACTTGCCTAGGGGAACAGTGCCTTACCGAAGAAAATTGGTCATAGTATTTCCTATAGACCAGGCAAACACTTTCGAGTATGTATGTATAAGCATGGCACAGTTGAAATTCTATGAGAAATGAAGCTAGGCTTGCATGATTCTCGGGAGGGAACTCTAAGCATAAACCGAAGGGGATTTCACTGAGGATATTTGGAGTATATGGCCGGGATAGCCGGGGATAACTTGGGATTCTGGGGAGAGTCCGGGAGTGCGTTCAAAAACGGCAATGCTAATGCCAAAACCTACTTTTCCCCTTCTACCGGCAATGCCAAATCTGGTGTGAATTTGCTGGAACGAACGCCAAATACCGTTTCTCAATTAGGCAATCCAAACCACGTGACATTCAAGATAGCGTGGCGTCCACACATGGACGAAAAAACACAAAAAATATCTAGTTTCTGCCCAACTCAATAGTTTACGTACCTACATATATTTTATTGAATAATCAAAGTGCAAAAGTCGAAGCAAAATAATTGAAATATGCATGAAAACACATATTCAAAACTAACTTGCTGGCCGCCACGCCATATTGAATTTGGTCTCATCCAATCAAAATTCGTATAACCATTTCTAGACTCAGTTAAAAGCACCTCCAAAAGTTACTTTACCGCGGCCGATTCTGAACGTGTAAAGCCAACCGTTTTTGGCACGCTGGAGCCGAACTTGAACGCAATATGCCAATTTTGGCTTGGCTTTGGCCGTTTTTGAACGCAGCCCAGGATAACCGAGAAAAACCGAGGATAACCAAGGGATAACCGGAGATAACCAAAGGATAATTGGGAATAACCAAATGATAACTGGGAATAACTAGGGGATAACTGGAAAAATGCAAGCATACTAAACTTAGAAAATTACATTTTGCAGAGTGATGCCGCGAGACTCGAGACTGGTCTCGTCTCGTTTCGTCTCGTCTCGACTTTTCGAGACGAGACTCGCTTTCGGTCTCGTGTCGTGAAGTCTCGACGAGACGAGACCAGACTCGGCGAGAGTCTCGTGTAGTCTCGAGTCTCGAGATTACACTTAAAATTTTTCTTTCATAGCTTTATTATTGGACTATTTAAATATGAAATCAGTAAATTAAATATCAGGGTTACTTTTTACTGTGATTTTTCACTAATTGCTTTTTCACTGTGGCAGTTTGGACTTACGATATAATTTAAAAACAAAAACCATTAATACAGGGTGTCCGAAAAATAGCGTAAAAACTCTCCACGTAGTAGAGGACCCTTTGAGAAACCCTAGAAAAATAATTAAATTAAAAAAATCCTTCTCCAGCATTATTCTTGGTCATATGAAGAGGTAGATGTGAAAATTCACCTTCGAATTCTTCAGGTAGTTACATGAGTATCTAATTCTCTGACATATTGTCAACGGAATATTTTCAGTGTTGCCAATTTTAATAAATAATAAAATGCAAATAACTTTCTTAAGAATGCCACTAGATTTTTTAAAGTATTTTTCTGGGGTTCCTTGTAGGGTCCTCCACCACGTAGAGAAGGGTTTTTACGCTATTTTTTGGACACCCTGTATAACTCGAGACCAGACGAGACCACTCGAGACAAGACGAGACTTTGGTACTCGAGACCGAGACTAAATCATCGAGATGTCGAGACGAAACGAGACCAACCCTAAGTCTCGTCTAGTCTCGTCTCGCGTCACCAATTTTGCAACAGGTATTTGGTCGCTATAAGACAAATATTACCAATAAAAAAGGACCATATTCGAGCAAATAGTTAAGGGATAACCGTAGATAACCGGGGAGAACAGAACAGCAAATATCTGGAGAATAATTAGGGACAAACAGGGATAACCAGGGATACCCGGCGATAACTGGGGATAACCATGGATGACCAGAGATAATTGGGGATAAACCATACACTTCAAGCTTACGGAGCAACACAAAATGATCGGCACAGTCGAAAGCCTTCGACAAGTCACAAAATACCGCTGCTGAAAGGTGATTCGATCATTTGTACTCAAATAGATATCTTCCAGAAGGGAAAATATTGCATCAGATATTCGTTTGCCACATTGGAAGCCAAATTGATTATCGGAGAGGGACCTGTTTAGATTGAGGAATGAAAGAACTCTTATTTTGAAAGCTTTTCAATCAGCTTACCAAATGAAGGAAGAAGAGCTATAGGACGGAAATTTTCTGGAGAGTCTGAGTCACCCCCTTTGTGAAGAGGTGCAACCACTGCTTGCTTAATGATATTAAGAAATATACCCTTATCAAAGGAATCATGTATTGCATCTCCAAACCCCTACAAATGAAGTAACTAATGGATGTCATCATAGCCCGAAGAATTATTATTTTTCAACATTATAAAGGGTTTCTTTGATCTCAGGTGCCAAAAGAAGGAAGAATTTGAGACATTCTTGGTTGTTTTTTAAGGTGCAACCACTGCTTGCTTAAGGATATTAAGAAATATACCCTTGTCAAAGGAATCATGTATTGTATCTCCAAACCCCTACAAATGAAGTAACTAATGGATATGTCATCATAGCCCGAAGAATTTTTATTTTTCAACATTATAAAGGGTTTCTTTGATCTCAGGTGCCAAAATATGAAAGAATTTGAGACATTCTTGGTTGTTTTTTAGTCTAAGGGATTAACCACCTAGTCGAGCTGGGACGAAAGCGCTTCAGCTATAGAGGAAAAGAAAATATTAAGATTGTTAGGAGAAAGGTTGGATAGAATTATTTGTCTGGAAATTATCTCCATTAGGGTATTATTATTCATCAAAAGTGGAAATGAGAAACCTATCTTTGGTAACTTGAACATCATCATCATTCATTGCACTAATCTACAACATACTTGATTCAATACTTCTGTTATCTTTTCCGCTATCTGCAATATACTTAGCCCTGTAATGTTTGATCACCTATGATGAGATCATCTACGGCAAAATCTGATAAAATTATATTGCTCGCTTTAGGATACTGATTTTTTCTGTCAATAGTTACTTGACGAAATGTTTTTATAGCCAAAACAGGTACTGTTGTATCACAAATTTATGTTGATATGTGAAGGATTTTGACGCCATAAAATTCGTTGAAAATGTCTTTGATCATGGGTTCGGGTTGATTTGTCGAATCGGCCTTCCTAACAAAGTTGTGTTTTTGCAATTCTATTATTACCGAAAATAAAAAGTTCGTATGACTGAACCAATAAATACATGGGGCAGTATTGGTTGATAAATATTTAACTAAACTTGTGACTGACTGTGTCATGGTTCACACAACATTTTTTTTTCTAACTCAGGCTAAAAGCTAACTTTTTTTCTGCCTACGATCCCCTTTGAGTCTCACTTGGCCTAGTATACAAATTTTTCATTGTTACAAATTTCCTTTCATTTCGCATTTTGCCATGACGAAAAATAAAACACTTCCAAATTCAAAAATAAATCGAATTTTATTAATAAAATAATGAATGCAAAGCGCTAAATCTAAAACAAGAAAAAACCAGAATAGTGGAAAAATGGTATACTTATATGGTTAGCTCCTTATTTAGGAAATACTTATTAGAAGATTCATTTTTTTATTATTTTTCATCATCATCATCATCAGTCATGGTCTGACACGAGAAAAAAAATTAACATTTGACACAGTGGGGTTTGCCAGTTTTGGAGTCGATTTTGTAGGATTGGTCTTTCATGATGGGCTTTTCGCATTTCTGAAAACAAACAATCTCGATTATAGATACATATTTTCATATTTGTAATAGTTGGTTAATGATACATACCAAAAAAGTACTCGGAATCCAGCTGGATTATTTTGTGAGCTTGTTTTTATAGCTGGTGGGCGATAATTAATTAATTTGGCAGCGGTGTGTATAGGTGCAGCAAGCCACAAAACAGTGTATAATAATTAAAGTTTTTACTACCTATGCTAGGTTCAACATACATTTTCTTACAACTAAATGAAAAACTTCCAAGTTTCTGAGAACAAAAAAGAATTACATAAATCTTAAAAGAAATTGAGTTAACATTTTTCTAAATACCTATAATGTTCTTCAATGTAGAACAAACTACAATTTTAAACATGGAAATCACAGTAAATTTTAGTAATAGGTAGCATCTGGTACTTAAAGCTTTAATTTTTTTTTAACCCTTGAATCGAAGAAAGGTATTTTGTAATCCCAGAAATTTGATTAACTGAAAGCTTTCAAAGGATAAAATATCATCATCAGCTTTCGTCATGTAACAACAGCTTTTCTGCTACTTTTATTTTTGATTTCATTCACAGTTTTCATTGCTCAAGATCTATTTTCAAATAAACAACTTTAATAAATGCATCCAATTAAGAAAAACACAAATTGCTGCTTTGTTACAAAAATCTAAATAATTTTCTTGGCAGGATATTTCAAACACTGGAACGTTATTCGAAATTTCGCAAAAATAAAAGGCATTAGGTTACAAAAAATTCTAAAAATATCTTCTCGCACTATTTATTATTGGGAGTTTTTCTAATACTTAGGTATTTGCGTGGGAATAAGTTGTAGTTAATTTATTTGTAATAAAACATGTAGGTATGTGTGCCAGTTGATTTTATTTTTGTATGTTTATTGTTTCTGGAAAAAGATTGGAAACTGAGTTATTTCAAGAAGTTTTAGAGTTTGTCTGCGAATCTAAGAAAAGGTATTATGGAGTTTTAGATTAAAATGCCACTAATATGATGAGTCGTAAGTTCTCGTTTTAATTAGTCAGTATTTATGACTTATTTCCTTGAATATTTCAATTTTTTCACTGGGTGCTCTCCGAAATTTGTGCCGTTGTCTGAATACAGGTGTTGCATCGCTTCTCGACGTTACATAATGTTTTTCGTTATTGTCCCATCAGCAGTAAAAGAAGGAACTCTTATCTTCATACAGGATACAGGTGCAGGTGATTTTTTTATCGGTAACATGAAACGGACCTAAATCGATAGGTACGAGTGTGGGTAGAATGTTTGCAATCTAATTTACATTGTGACCGGACATCTTTGGTATACTTTGGACTTTTTAAAACGTTTTTGTGCTGCAGTTATTTCTTTTAAAGTCCAAATTTTTTTTTTAAGTTATTATTCTTCTCATTCGGTCCACCTGCGAAATTTTGTATTTTGGTATCCCACCTTCGTCTCTAAGGTTCGACAATGTTCTACTTGTTCTCCCTTGGGCCCCAAACCTAAAGCAAAGTTTCCTAAAGCCAGTAATGCCCTCGTCTCCCTAGATGGACAGTTCATCACCTTAGTCATGATACACAACCCTTATCACTTAATTTCGAAATCTGTCCCTCAAAGTAATTCCAAGCTCCTTGTGTATTTTGCAGTATATTGGCAGATTTTTAAGTAATCCACATTGTCTCGAGTGCATGCATATGTATTATGTGAGCATCGGAGTCGAATACTTTCCTTTCAAGATTTATAGGGATGTCTTGCCGAAAAATAGAGGCCTATTCTTCTTGATTTCGGAAAAATGATTTTCACTTCTATTAAGTTGAACTCTATATCCTAAATAAATATATTCAAGAACATTTCCTAACAAGTGATCGCTAAGGGTTTGCTCGATGTAGTGATGCCGCGAGATTCGAGACTGGTCTCGTCTCGTCTCGACTTTTCGAGACGAGACTAGCTTTTGGTCTCGTCTCGTAAAGTCTCGACGAGACGAGACCAGACTCGGCGAGAGTCTCGCTTAGTCTCGAGGCTCGAGATTACAATTAATTTTTTTTTTTCATAGCTTTATTATTGGACTATTTTGGGCTATTTGAATATGAAATCAGAAAAAAAACTTGAACGTCAAATAAAAAAAATAAATGTCGATAAAAAAGCTCTTGAAAAAAGAATCACCTTGCAGTTTTTTGTGAATTCTAATACCTACTTACAATAATTAATGGGATGATTTCTACAAACCTACTTCATCTTCAGATTCCACTTTCAGTTTAGCCATTAGTGAGATCAATTTAAAGAAATGTTTAAAGCATAAGCACTTCCGGCTAAACTGGAAGTTAGATCTAAAAATAAGGAATAAAGTATGTAGAAGCCATCCCATCAATTCACACAAAAAATACTGGGTGATTCTTTTTTCAAAAACACTTTTGTCCGACATTTTTTTATTTTTATTTGACGTTCATATTTTTTCAAATATCACGGTTCCTCTTTACTGTGATTTTTCACTCTTTAAAAAACTGCTTTTTTACTGTGGCAGTTTGGACTTTCGTTATAATGTAAAAATAAATACAGGGTGTCCGCAAAATATCGTAAAAGCTGTCCAACTAATAGGGGATCCTTTGAAAAACCCTAGAAAAACAATTAAAAAAATCCTTCTCGAGCATTCTTGCTAATATGGAGAGGTAAATGTGGAAATTCAACTTCCTTATTTTTGATTTTATTTATTTTTTCTCCAAACGTCAAAAAAACGTCACTTTTTTAACCCCTGTCAAGATGTCAGAAATTTGATTTTTATGCTGCTAGGCAAATCCAGCGGGTTAACACCTGTCGAGGTGGTAGAAATTTAATTTCTATGCTGCTAGGCAACCGCAGCGGCAGTAGACGTACTTTTAGTGCCGCTGGAGCGGCAGCAAAAATACTTTTAGTGCCGCTCGTACTTTTACTGCCGCTCAACCATCCAGTTACCCCCGAGCTTACCCCATTCGTTTGGAGAAAAAATAGCGTGTTGCATACGGAGTAGAAGCACTTTTTTGTGCTTCAGCAGTATTGCAAGCCTCACTACGTTCGGCTCGCAAACCTACTGCTCCAGCACAAAAAAGTAAAGCTTCTACTCCTAATATAACAATATACCTACTATTTTTTTCAAAATGCGGTATTTCGTACAAATTATTAGGTATCTTGTTTTGATTATAATATAATTGCAAAAATTCTAAATTACAACAGGAAAATTTGATCTGACATTTTTAAGTCACCTTCGAATTTTCAGGTAAATACATAGGTATTTAATTTAACGCTGTGACTAGAATCCCGACTCGGGATCCACATCCAGTCCCGAATGACGTCATCAGTAGTTTTGTCGGGACTGGTGTTCCGCCCCTACTCGGGAATCTCGGCACCTGCTTACGGTCCCGACTTAAAACACAATATGTTTCGAGGTTATAGTTTAGCATCTGTGGTACAGCCATAGATCATATGTAATTTTGTTGATACCTATACATATATACTATTATACAAGGTGTCCCACGATATTTTACCCAGGTGATAACTTCGGAACACGTCATTAAATGTTCAACTTTGTAATTTTTTATCATTTTCTTCAAAAAAGCCTTGACAAACAGGTATGGCATAGCCGATTTTGTAATAAAATTTTCTAACGAAAAAATTCTATACCTACCTAATATACCATAGGATACATTTGAGATTCTGAAGTTGAGTTGCAGTCACCACTTGACCGAAACTGAAGCGAAAGTGGTGAAATTGGATGACACAACTAGAAGCGGCATAAAAAGTTACCCAGATCCTCAAAATTTCAATTACATTAGATGACGCGTTCCCAAGTTATCACCAAAGTCTGTCACCTGGTAGGTAGAAAACCAGAAATTTATTCTTAATTTCTGAGGATCAAGCTCTAACTATTTCTTATGAATTTAAAGGTTGGAAATTGGCAAAAAATTTTGGCATGTATACTGATGTGAAAAACTTCATCAATCAATATGTAATGTAAACTACCCTATTTTCTGTTAACATGTGTTTTTGAAATAAAATTTACGCCAATGGAAATATAATATTCAGGCCTATGATGTATCCCCTCCTGTTATTTTAACAGCTATGTTATAGCTCAACATCTATACCTCTCTCTATTTTGATGTATATAATGAACAGTGACAGACAACTTAACGTTGCTGTTAAAATAACAGAAAATGATACATCATAGGCCTGATTGTCTTATTTATTTTAATAATTGAATAGGTAGGTACTAATGTGGTTTTACCTTATGAAGGAATTATTGTGATACTCCCTATAATTTAGAGCGAGTCCCGATTCGGGACCTATATCATATCCAGTCCCGATAAAACTATTGATAACGTCATTTATTGACGTTATTCGGGACGTGGATCCCGAGTCAGGACTCTTGTCACAGCGTTAATTTGATTCTGTGACATATGGTCAACGGGATATTTTTAGTGTTGCCAATTTTATAAAATAATAAAATGTAAATAACTTTCTTAAGAATGCCACCAGATTTTTTAAATTATTTTTCCGGGGTTCCTTGAAGGGTCCTCCACCACGTAGTGAAGAGTTTTTACGCTATTTTTCAGACAGCCTATATAAGTCGAGACCAGACGAGACCACTCGAGACGAAACGAGACTTAGGTAGTCGAGACCGAGACTAAGTTTCGGTCTCATCTCGAGATGTCGAGACGAGACGAGACCAATGTTGAGTCTCGTCTCGCGGCACCACTAGCTCGATGTTTTCTGTGCCCTTCGTTTTAGTTACGTTCATTTCAAGTCCAATTTGCAGTGATGCATGGTGAAGTTCTTCAAGCATGCTTTCGAACTCTTCGCATGTAATGGCAATATTGTATATATTGATCCCATTATTTTACCAGTCCAATTTTTTGAAGATATTTTCCAAGGTTAGTGTAATTGATTTTTTTGAGATTGTGTCCCCTTGTCGTAGTCCTCTTTTGATCCGGACCTATTCAGTTTTTAGATCCTCCTCTATTTTTACACAGACGTGGGCCTATG